GGATGGAGAGAGCACACAGCTAGGGTGGCCAAGCACAGGTGCAGGTCATGGCGGTAACTGCTATCAACAGGCTTATTAGCACCTACTGCCCCACAGAGAAGCAGTTCAGTTTTGGAGACTTCTGGCAAAAAGGAGACTGGAAGAATCACTGAGGAGTAAAAGAACAGAACTATGTACACAGGTAAGGCACCTTCCTGGCACTCCCAGAAATCAGTGGGTGGTATTTGAGGAGCCATGATAGAGACCGACAGAAATATGGATCACTACTGCTTATGAGATACTATTGTTAAATCTGGGCAGGTGCCTTTTTATTTGTTTCCTCTCGTTTGCTTGTTTAGAGGAAGTGCATTACATGTGAGTCATAAAACTCTAGACTAGCAGATACTTTAAGAAGCCATCTGAGGGGCGCCTGGGTGGCTCAGTTGGTTAGGCATCCAGTTCGGCTCAGGTCATGATCTCATGGTTCGTGGGTTCAAGCCCCGCACTGGGTTCTGTGCTGACAGTGAGCTCAGAGCATGAAGCCTGCTTCAGATTCTGTGTCTCCCTCTCTCTCTGACCCTCCCCTGCTCACACTCTCTCGCTCTAGCTCTCTCTCAGAAATAAAGAAAAAAACATTAAAAAAATAAAAAAAAGAAACCATCTGACTCTTCCCCATGGCATGCTCCTGCTGATATATTCACATTCTTTAAACTTGGCAGTGAGTATGTTAGAAAGAACACACCAATAAGAATATGACAATGCAGAATGGACTAAAGGGAGATACCTGAAGGCCATAGTCCAAAACGAGTATTTTCTCCAATTCAACCAACCCTAAGGGAAAGGTCAGCAGTGGTTAAAAAAAAAAAAATCCCTCGATGAGCATGGCCATATTCCCCTAAGTGGTTCATTGAAATAATCTTTTATTCAACTGTCTCCCTCCAAAGAAAGGGAAGGAGGATGCTATAAATCTTGAACTGTGCCGAGGCTCTCATGTGTTTGGGTCCTGGACCACCTCCTGGTCTCTCAAAGCGCGACTCCTCTGAGTGGACAAAAGCCAGGACTCTACCAGTTCCCTGACCATTAGGAGCATGGAGACAAATGCTGCCTTGGTACAAGGCATCAAGTTTCTACCCAGAAAAGCTATCCTGTCCCTGTATTCTGTGGGGATAGGGACATCCATCTTCCTCCTGGAGAGGAAACCTCGCTGAAAGATGAAAGTGTTCGCTCCATCTTCCGGGGCTCTGTGCATCTCCGAGCAGCCTCAGCCCTTATGGATATCACTTCACTTCCAGCCCTCCCAGCTCTCCTGCCCTCCTCCCAGACCTGCACCTGCCGGATGGGCAAACACACTGGGGAGCCGACTCTCCTGCCCCCACGGAAGGACCACCTCCTCCTGCTTTCCCCCGGCAGTCATGCCAGCTGAGTTACGGTCAGGAGGACTCAGGTCATCTGTTCATCCTAGACAAGCCTCCACAGGCCTTCAGGGGCTGCCCAGAGTCACAGCGCCAGATCACGTATTCCCACTTTTCTGACTGAGCTTCATCTTTTGACTCACTATGACGTTTTCTTTGTGCATATTTTATATATTATATCACAACTCCATTTGTAAGGGTAGATTTTTCTCTGGGTTTTACGCCTTAAACTGTATAGAATTTTAGTTTTATTTTTCAGAGTTTCACTCATATCTAATTTAACTACTATATAGTCCATTTTTCAGTTATATTCAATCAAGATATAGTGAAGAAGGCCATGGATATCAGTGTCCTACAAAACTGTTGCAACAAAAATACATATTATTTGTATGATCACCAATGGTTTTGTTCTGGATCGCTCAGAAAGCACTCTGCGGGTATCTGTGATAAAATTCTATATTCTTTCTGCTATAGAAAAATGTCTTTCCTTCCAAGCATCATGTCAATTTTCCCATCTTTGCTCCAATTTTAAATTTGATGGACTATATATTAAGCATTGGATCTTTTTTCCTTCTTCTTTACAAAAGAAAATTATATTTCCTCTTATTTTCAAAGAGAGATCCTCAAGATGCTTTTGCTGTGTGACTGCTTTGGGTAGTAATATCTCTTAGTAAATACTGTGTAATTATGTTACCAGTGAAACAGCTTGTCACAATGCAAATAAACAGAACAAAAACAGGAAATGTGTATGCTTGATAAAAACCTACATTTGTGGAGAAGTGAGGATTGTTCTCCATTCTTCCCTTCAAAACAGACAAGCATGATATTTTTTATGGGCCCTGGTATTACTCAGTAGAAGTTTTAAAGCTCTTTGTGATCATCTCAGACCTGAGTGATCAGAAGAATGAAAAGCAAGTGTTAGCCTGCATTTGGGGAAATGTTCTGCAAAATTCATTATGCTTATATCACCCTAAAAGAAGAAAGAGGCATTGAAAATACCTACAATCGAATAGTGGCTGATTAAGTTTTGTTTTTAAAGTATGATAAATCAGAAATAATTTTGTACAGGTGAGGAAGACCTGACCCATGAAAATGTTTGACTTCTCTAGCTAAGATAAGGCAACTGAGACAAGAAAAACTAGGTCAACACTCTATTTCTGAAGGAGTGAGTCCATCAAGGAGCAAATCCTTTCTGATGTGAAGTCAACATGGAGGTCAGGAAAGACACCCAAGCGCTAAAACAAAGAACTGGTCAGGGAGCATGAAATGCATGTTTAGAGATGCCAGTCCCAGACAGAGAATGAGACTTAGAGTTCATCTTGCTTGATTACATAATATTTTTGGGCCCCATTTGGTTCTAATATCTTCTGTTAAAAAAAAACAAAATCCAAGCAAATCAATTGAAGCTGAATGAAGAACATCCAGGTCAGAGTCTGTGATGGTTTAGAACCCGCCATTATCAGGGAAGCTGGGGGGCTCAGTCTGAAGTGGGCTCAGGCCATGATCTAACTGTTCATGAGTTCAAGCCCCCGTCAGGCTCTGTGCTGACAGCTTGAAGCCTGGAGCTACTTCAGATTTTGTGTCTCCCTCTGTCTCTGTTCCTCCCCTGCTCATACTCTCTCTCTCCATGTCACTTAAAAATAAATAAACATTAAAAAAAAAGAGAGAGAGAACTCTCCATTATGAACCACACCCATCCTGAGCACCATCCTATCTGAGCATCCATCTGTGATCTGGGAATAAGTGGGCATGGTCATGAGTAGCAAGTATTTTCTTCCTTTATTATCCGAAAACAGTCAATAAGTGGCCATTTTTCTATTTTAAATGCTTTTAGTGGTCAATTCCACTAAACCATAGAGGCAGGAAGGGGAAATTGGGGAAACAAGGCCTAAACTTTTCACTTGGTTCTGAACCATTCTGCCATATGGTTAGTTCATTTAGGTCCGGCTCATCTTGGCCTTCATTTCTGTGCCTACTGACACATCTTCATAACCAAAACACTGCCATGGTGCTCCAGTGCTTTTGTTAACAGATATCTACATTTCTTAGGCTAAAAAAAATAAAATAATTCCTTAGGCTAGAGAGACACAAAATGGAAGAAGTAGGCAAGAAGCCATTGTGGATGCCTGAGAAGGAAGGAATTCAGACCTTAATAAAATTCTCCTGAGACCTTCTGGCCATCTGAGAGTGGAAGGGACACATGTCTACTTCCCAATGTAGTTTAGAAGAGACCGCAGGATGCCAGGGAAGAAACACCTGTGTGCTCTGACAGATACACTAGGTCAAGCGTAAAGAAGAAACAGTGGGATAATTTTTGTGTCCCTCTCTGATTGCAGCATTGTCAACAAAACAAAAAAGCAAAACCCATACCTTTAAAGATCTTACAGTCAAGAACATTAGAGCAATTACCTACATGATAAATAAGGTCATGCTAATTATATATTGGTACAGTTTTTAACAATCTCTGTTTTCATATCAGTAATTTATTGTCTAAGAAAACCAATAATATAGACTATTTATTTGTTAGTTAAATAGTCAAACAAAACCTCAAGCAAAGTGATCATTTCTTATTCTACCATTTATACACTGCAATACCCTACAAAAATGTGTATGGTAAACAAACAAACAAACAAAAACAACAACAACAAATAAAAAACCCCAAAACGAAAAACCAAAAATGAACATAGGAGAAAAGTTGCCTATGACCTTACATACCTTATGACCTTAGGCTCCTTGTAACCTTGTGCACACAGCCCTCTACAGAAAGCACCTTTCAAGAACTGGACTCATCCTCAGAAGCGAACCTCCTCTCACTGAAAGCAAACATCCATCTGTGGAAAAGCATCTGTGATGCCTTCCCCGTGGGAAAAGCACTCCTTTGGGAAGGAGCAGAGGAATCTGACAATTGAGCACAGAACTCAGGTGACCTTCACATACACTAACAGCTGAGAACTGACAACTCCCCCCTCCTGTCTTCTTTTAAAGGTGTGCCTTACAAATCACTAGGATCCCAGAAGATGGAAGATACCACACTCTCTCCAACAATCAGCTGACACAGATGCTACAATGAATGGATGGTATCTGGAAGAGCTAACAAGTCCTCATGGCCACAGACCCTGATCATGGCTTAGCCACACCCTGACCCCAGTTCCAGCTGATCCCCAAGCTGATTTCATTCTAGAATCTTGGTTTATGAACTAAACCAATTAGTCCTGGGGCCTTCAAACTCTTACTTTTCAGTAACCTTTTTTTTTTTCATAAAATTTTAAATCGGAGGATTTGTACAAAGTTATTGGTGCTGTGAACTTTGGACTGAACTGTAGTCTGGAGAGACTATAAGTAGATTGAGAATACAGAGCTAAGGGGGCATTCAGTCAACCAGTGTTAAGATTCTTATCTACTGTTTCATGCAAATATGTCTTCTGTATTCAAGCAATATGGTTATTCCTCACGTTTTTCATAGCAAAGACCCTGTGCTCTGGGTCTGGTACTACTATGTTGTTAAAATTGTTGCCCCAGACATTCAGATGTACCACAGACTCTGTAGTAGGCAACAGAGTAGAACCGAGAGAATGGAGTAGGCAACCAGGAATCACCTGTGTTCCTTACCTTCACTATGACTGTGACAGTAGCGATGCCTGGTGGCATTGTTCCATAAATATCAAAGGCCTCCACGAGAAAAGTGATGCTGGCTTCCTGGTCTGGAAATGACTCATAGTCCAAACTCCTTAAGAGGGAGAGCTCTCCTGTAAACGGATGTAGTGCAAAAAAGTGCTTTACTTCTGGGCTTCTTATCCGATAAGACACATTTGCTCCCAGGTCGACATCTTTGGCCTGTAACAAGTTGAGCAGAAAGATGGTCACGTCAGCGGTGCTACCAAACCAGAGGACCAGCCTGATGGCAGTCATGTGTCAGTACCTATGATAACATGCATTTCATGATCAAAAGATGTGTTTTAAAGAAAAGCTTTCTTGTTAAGTAACTTACCCAACAGAGGAAGGAGAGAAAGAGAGAGACAGAGCCTCATGACTCTCTGTCATTTTTTTATCTTATTACTATATTTATTTTACCTGAAAAAATCACTAACTAAAAGAATCGAATATAGTCATAAAGAACCAAATATATTCATAAATTATTGTTTATTATTTCCTGCTATTGTATAACCCTGAACAATATTTTAAATAAGAATTAAGTTTTACAGAGATTTTTTTCACACACAGAACAGATTATTAAAGGAGTATAAGGAAACTGAGGAAACAGAAGTACTAACCGCTCCTTACAAAGATCCTATAATACATTTTTAAAGACCACTCTATTATACTCCATTTCAGTAACATTTATTGAGTAGTTATTATGCATGAAAGCACAAGATGAATCAAGACCAAATCCTGCTCTCCAGTTTAATGCCTCAAAAAAAAAAAAAAAAAAAAGACAAATACCAAAATAGAAGGAACACGAAACACAGGGACGCGGGGGGCCGAAGGGTGTGAAGAACTGGGAGTGGCGTGTCCCAGCTGCGGCTCCTGCACCACAAGCACAGCCAGTGAAGGCTAGCACAGGCTGCCTCTGGTGGAGGCAGTGGGAGGAGGAGTGTGGGGGGGCGGGGCATGATGGAAGGTGCACACAGCAGTGCCCGCACCTGCTACCGGAACTCGTGACTTGGCTCCCTGGTCAGTTACTGACACCGCGACCAGAAGATACTGGGAAAGCACAGATTTCGTGGTGTCCTTTTCCTAACTAAAATCCTTCTTGTTTCCCATTCCACTTTGGGTTAACCTGGACCTCCTGAACACGGGGAAAAGGAGCCATACACTTTCTAGCATCTCGCTGTCTCCTCTCCCCCAGGATTTCAAGTAGATTTCTTCCAACGCTTTGAATATCTCTTCCGCTGCTTGAATGACTCTGACTTGCTCCTCAGTTCACAATGTAGGAAGCAATGACCTAAGTCTCAAGGCTTGATTTCTAAATTCTCAAGATGAGGTTAAGGGTTCCTCCTGGGATCTCTTAGGCTCCTTGCACTGAGAATCTCTACTGCAATTACCAGTTGGCTTGTCTGTTTGCCACCCCCGACTGAGAAGCCCAGGAAGACATGACATCTGTCTTGTCCATGCTGGAAAGGCCAGAGTGCAGCAGAGGATAAATGCATGCAATCAACAGTGCAAACACGCTTGATGAGTAAATGGGTGCAAAAATGAATAGAAGAACAGAAGAAGAGAAGAATAAATGGAGAAATATGGCCCTTTCCTTGGTTGCCTTTTTTTAGACTGATTAATGTTTTGGCCTAAGTATTTATTGAGTTGAATTGTGAAAAAAGCCACAAGTTCTTGAAATCCAAGCTAATAAAATTCAAGTTGTGGATGGCAGGTCAAGGAAGTACTAGATTTTTTTTTTCTCCAAAAAATAAACCTCATAGACCATCTGTGTCAGAATTAAAGGCATGGTTGATTAAAATGACGATTTCTGGGCCGACCACATGTACTGAATCAGAATGTCCAGAGTTTCTGGTAGTACTGTAACTGAGGACTGAAAAAACAGGCTTGGGTGTGGTGACACTTAAACAGTAAAGTGAGACTTCTGAAAGGTGTCAGTGGCACCTAGAGTAAAAATAGTGGGCTCAGCAATATCCTCTTCCTGTAAAACACAGGGCAAATCTCTACACATGTGTGTGAACATATATATATACATACATAGATACAAACATATATGCCTACACTGCCATGTGTGCATATTCGCATATCTGTAAATATGAAAATATGTACTTGTATATATAGGTATATATGCATACACTGGCATGCCTGCATATTTGCATATATGAAAATGTGAAAATACTTATTTGAATATATACAAGCATAGGTATATATGCACACGGCTGCATATATACATACATGCATATTTGCATGCATGCATATACGAAAACATTTATCTGAATATATACATATGTAAATATATGCACACATGCACATGTGTATTAGCACGTATGTAAATATAAAAATACTTATTTGACATTATGGGAACACAAAAATAAATGTCACAGAATACATATAAAAATATAACCCTGAGTACTCTGGACATACAAAGTGGGGGATTATTAACTTCTTTATATAGTATTGTCAATTTTTACAATAAATATATAGAATTAATTTTATAAATTGAAAAATTATTAAGAGATGTTATTTGATTTCTTACAAATGTAACTTTTCTCCCCTTAATTGTTGGTATACCCCTAAAGTAGGTTGTTAGATAAACACAACATGTAATATTTGAGAGTTGCTTGTATTAAAAATTTACTCACTGTCCATCTGAAATTGAAATTTAACTGGGTGTGTTGAGTTTTTATTTGCTGGATCTGCAACCTTATACTAACGGAGGTGTGACACTGTGGAGCTCATGAAATGGCCACCTCTCTGCCCACCTCTATCTGAAGGAAGGTGGTTCCTGCCGGCAGGTTCTCCTCCACGACGACTGTGTACGTTGAGTTGGTGAACACTGGACTGTTGTCATCAATATCCAAAACTTTGATGGCCAGTGTGAGGGTTGAGTGACGTGGGTGAACTGCTCCATCGGTTGCCACAACAACAAGTTCATAGTAGTCCCTGACCTCTCTGTTAAGCTTCACTGCCGTGTAAATGCTCCCGTTGGATGTGATGCGGAAGAGATTATTGAAGTTGCCCAGACTGTAGTGCACCTGGCCATTTATTCCCGCATCAGGGTCTGTTGCCTGCAGAGAAATTAAAAACAAAGAAATAGGAAAAAACATAGTGTGTTTTGTCATGCTTTTGTCACACTATATTTTGTTACGCTGCCCTGCTAGAAGGGGTAGTTGATAAATTATGGCATATTTTTTTAAATTATGGCATATTTTTAATTGGATATTCTTTTTATTCTAAGGAGAAAACTAAAACAATAATGATGATGTAATGCAAAAGTCTAGGATATGAAAAGAAATACACTATAGGTTAGCTAATTATTCTTCATTCAAAATTACCATAACATAACTTGATAATATCATTAGCAATAACAACAGTACATTATGACAGAACATATTACAATACTGAATTTTTCCCAGACTATCACTTCTTTAATTATCTTGAGTTCTAAAATAAGAAACACACGTCTAGTTTTTAATTAATTTAACATAACTTACTGGATGACAACTCAAGATGGTACATTAATTTTTGTTCAAGTAGTTTATATATTAATTTTCATATATAATTTTCAAGCACTATATATATTTTCCCACTTAATCCTCACCATGTTCTTATGAATAAATATAATTGGTCTCATTTTGCAAATAAGAAGACCATGACTTATGGAATGTAGTGATCTTGCTTAGAGTTACGTGAGAAATAAATATACAGTGCCTCCGTTCTTAGTACAATGCCTCATGTATAAAACTACTTAATAAGTACCTGAGGGATTAATGCAGGTTAGAATAAATGAATGCATGAAACTGATTGAAAACTCAATCTGCCCAAATCCAAATGGCAGTAAAAGTATAGTAACTGTAAAGCACCCATAAAGGGCTCTTCTTTAAAATTAGAATACGATCTCTAAATGATAATTGAGAATTATTGATATTATAGTAATATATTAACTAAAATTTTAAGTCACATAAAAAATCACTTTGCATCAAATAAAATGTGTGAATTATGAGTGAACATTCTTCCAATGGAGTGTTATGAGAAATAATCTTATCCAAATTCAATTGTGATATAAATTTGGACACTCACTATCAGCTACTGTGCATTTTGTGTTAAACAGTTCTGTGTTATTGTTTTTCTTTTTTGTCAATGTTTTTTAAAAAAAAATTAAAGTGTTTATTTACTTTTGAGACAGAGAGAGACACAGTGTGAGCAGAGGAGGGGCAGAGAGAGAGGGAGACACAGAATCTGAAGCAGGCTCCAGGCTCCGAGGTGTCACCACAGAGCCCGACATGAAGCTTGAACCCATGAACTGTGAGATCATGACCTGAGCCGAAATCAGACACTTAACCGACTAAGCCACCCAGGCACCCCTGTGTTGCTGTTTTTCAAAGACAGTGGAGTAAATATTAGAGGCCATGAGATGTTATATAATTGTGCGTCAAACTGTTGCTAAGGATAGGGAGGAAAACAAGACACCAGTCTGCACTATGAGCTGGGGACACAATATAATCACTCATAGTCCAGAAAGCCTGAATGCAGCAGGATGCATTTTAACAGAATATATGCAGAGGTACATCCAGTTTTACAAACCCTGGCAAAGCTTGTCAGGGCCATTGGTGAATGCTTCTGTCCTGGTTGAAATGGTGAAGTGCAAGCTGTGAAAGCCATGTTTGTAACTTGACATCTCAGCAGGATTTGTCCGTTTGACTCATCCAAACACAGATGCCCCTGGGAGGTCATTACCTCCTGAGACTCAACCCGAGAATAGACATAGACGGAGGAGGGACTGTGGGATTCCCACAGAGGGAGAGATGCTGTGAATGAGCTGAAGAATTTCCCGAGACAAACATTCTTCTACTTTTACTGTGTGCCTGGGATTTGCCATCAAATTATTGACAAATTAGTCAACTTGTCCCTTAGAGGAAAAATCAAATGACAACACTAACCCCACTTTGGGGGAAAAAAAACCTTATTTTTTGTCTAAAATCACTGTGTAAGTATATAAAAAATATAATCCAGTAATATAATATAAATAGGTCTTACTTATTAGCGCCAACATTTGTGAAAATTTCAGTGAATTTTTGCTATCTGTGGGAATTCTTTTTTTTTAAGTTTATTTATTTGAAAGAGAGAGAGAGAGAGCAGTGGAGAGGCAGAGACAAGGGGGGGGCGGAGAGAGAGAGAGAGAGAGAGAGAATGAATCCCGAGCTGATGTGGGGCTTGATCCCACAAACTGTGAGAGTATGACCTGAGGAGAAATCAAGAGTCGGACACTTTACTGACTGAGCCACCCAGGCATCCCCGTCTGTGGGAATTGTTAAGATCACAAAAGCAATAGTTTCTATAACCAGTACTTTAAATGATCCTTGTTCAAAATATGTTTTTATTCATCCATCTAAGGGAAGATGTGTTGTAGAATGATTCAATTTGACTAATGTGGCTGTGTGTGTGTGTGTGTGTGCATGTGTGTGGGGGTGCCTTGTATGTACTGTTTTACATACATCTGGCTGCTTGGCTGATACCTCCTAGAATGCCTCATGCATATCTGTGTTAGTTTCCTGTCGCTGCCTAACCAATGATCACAAATTGAGTAGTTTACAAAACACAAGTTTATAATTTTATAGCTTTGTATTTCAGGAATTCAACACAGGTCTCATCAGGCTCAAATCAAGGCACACGCAGGGCTGTGTTTCTTTCTGGAGGCTGTAGGGGAAGCTCCCCTTCCTTGCTCATTGGAGGTGTTGAGAGAATTCAGTTGCTTGAGATGTAGAATTGAGATTCCTTGCCTCCTTTTCCCCTGTCACGTGAGGACAATTCCCAGCTTCGAGGCCACCCACAGTCCTTGGCTCACGGCGCATCTCCTCCATTTTCAAAGCCAACTTTGGAGAGTGAAGTCCTTCTACCTTCTGACTCTCTCCTTCTTCCATCTCACCCCTCTGACCCACTCTCCTGCCATCTTCTCCCAGTTTTAAGGGCTTTTACAACTACAGTATGACCCACCGGGACAATCCAGAAAAATCTTCCTATCTTGAGATCCATAACTTTAATCACATCTACAAGGTTCCTTTTGCCATGTAGGGTAACATATTCATATGTGGGACATACTTGGGGGCCATTATTCTGTCTAGCATAGAAGCAGAAGCTTAACATGCTGCTGATCGAACTCTTGATTTCTTCTGTGTTCAAATCTTGTTCACCTCCATGAATCCCCAGTCAGTAAATGGTCCTCCTACCACATAATAGGTTATATAAGAAATAAAGTAGGTATTTATGATAACTCCTTCATTTATCTTCTCAACTATTCATTCATTCAGTAATTTGAGAAAGCAAGTTTAATACTCTTTATGAGTATACATAAAGGCTGTGAGATACATGGTATATTAAGTATCAAGGTCCAAGACTTAGTATCAATTACAACATAATCCCTACCTGTCTATAGTATGTTGTGTCCACCTATATATAATATCTCACTCCTAACTACCTTGGTCCTAGCCACCACTGACTGCAACTTAGATTACTAAATTACTTCTCTCTTTAAAATTTGTTTTAGTGTTTATTTTTGAGAGAGAGAGAGAGAGGGGAAGGGAGGGAGGGGAGGAAGGGAAGGAGAGAGGGAGGGACGTAGAGAGAGCGTACTGGAGTGCAAGAAAGAGAGAGGCAGAAGGAGGGAAGAGGGAGAGGAAGACACTGAATCCAATGCAGGCTCCAGGCTCTGAGAGCTGTCAGCACAGAGCCTGAACTCAGGAACCATGTGATCATGACCTGAACCAAAATCAAGAGCTGGATGCTTAACTGACTGAGCCACCCAGGAGCTCCACTAAATTACCTCTTAATTCTTTTCTTTTAGTTACATCTCTTCAGAGAGACCTTTTATAGAGGGAAAACAATGACATCAGTTCTCTGCTTAACATCCAGCAATGATCTCCAATGCCTGGGGCAATATTCAAATTCACTATTCACAGCCAAGAGGTTCCAGTAAAATGCTGCTTTCATTGTGTTCCCTTCAACCTCCAAACTTCTCCAAAACTTCTGCCTCCTCAGCTTCTTCCATCACTCACCAGGCTACTCTCCACTTACTCCTCATCTTTCAAGTGTCAATGTAAATATCACTTGCTCCAAGAAGTCTTCTCTGATTACCGCAAAGGAGATTAGATTCTCCCATCGCACATGTTGGTGGCTCCAAGTACCTGTCATTTATGCCACTTTGGATAATTTAAAACTATATATTTATCAGTGTGCTTACTTGTGTAAGAACTTCTCTTCGTTTTCACAAGGTAAGCTATATGAGTATGGTCTGGACTTTTCTGTTTTCATTGAACACTCAATGCCTAGTACGATGTCTGGTGCATTTTTTTTTTTTTTTTATGTTTTATTTATTTCCAGGAGACAGAGAGAGAGACAGCATGAGCAGGAGAGGGTCAGAGAGAGAGGGAGTCACAGACTGAAACAGGCTCCAGGCTCTGAGCTGGCAGTCAGCACAGAGCCCGACGTGGGGCTCGAACCCACGAACTGTGAGATCATGACTTAAGTGAAAGTCGGACGCTTAACCAACTAAGCCACCCAGGCGCCCCAAGTGCACTTTAATTCATAAATGAATTCTCAGATCAACATATATAAATGGATGTATTAGCAGTGCTATGTAGTAGTTTGAAGGTTTCTTAAAATTATTTTATTCACTGTATATCTATCATTCGGTTTTATTTTGATTCTTGCTTTATTATCCTCTGTGGTTTTGGTTAAGACTTTGAGGACAAAAACTGTAGAATTATTAGAATTGCATCTAGGACTCCAGTCACCTTGGTGAAACTGCTGATTCAGGGCTATGCTGAAAAATAGCATATTATTTTTAGAAGAACACAGTAGTGTTTTATCATGATGTAAACAAGCATATGATAACCAGTGAATACCTTTGTACTTTTAGCATTTTGTGGAATGACAAGGGGGGTTATGGAGGTTAAGGTAGTGAATGAGTGTTATACAAGGAGAGATGGCTATGTTGTGGAAGTGCTGTGGGCCTCAGTGTTCCCAGCTTATTATTTTTAACTTTGATGTCACTAACTTTGGTATGTTACTT